ATCACAGCGTTTCTGTGATCACTTATGCAACGCGAGCGGAGACGCACGAAGGCGCTCTGGCGTGTGGGCGAGCTGCTTAGTGTGTAAATAGATTAAACATCACTCTACAAACAAGAGCAAAAATAAATAGTAAGAATCAGTCAGTTGATTATTAATACCTTCTACAGTCTGAGCATCATGTGGAGATTAGCCTCTCTCTCCTGCAGGGAGCAGTGTTTTGCTCTCGTCATGTTGCTCGTTTTCCAAAACAAAAGCTGCGCTCTCCTTTCTTCTGTCCATCAAGAGATAATCCACGGGCAACATTCTGCTGATGTCAAAACTGTAAAAAGTGTGCTGTCCTCGCTTCTGCCTGCCAGAATCACCGGAGTTGGAGGTTCTGCTTGGTTGGAATCATGGAGACACTTTTGGACCGAGGCTGAACCGAGCCGAACCACAAAGCTGCTGCCAGGGTGGAGAGTAGTTGTCGCTCCTGTTTAAAACGTTCACGGTTCTGTGCCCCCACGGAAAACTTGTGCGTGACAACTTTGCACTTAGCTGCAACTCTGTTTCTGATGAAAATAGAAAGTTCTGCCCACATTCTTCCTAACTTGTTAGCGCTGCATGTTGTTGTGATCACGTGAGCTCTGCATACTGGATCCAAGCGCTGCTGGATAGAAACACTGGAGTGGAGGCAGTGAACTGCTGGAACGGACTGCTAATATCGGACATTTTTTATGCAGGCCGATAAAATCCAAAACTCATTCTTTGGCTGATATCAGACCGATATCCGATATCGATATCAGACCGATATCCGATATTAATATCGGATCGGGACACCCCTAACTGACGCTTTGTCTGTCTTCTTGGTTTCCATTTTTTTTATCTGTTATTGTCTGTGTAGAACTCCGGTATCTTGGCCTTTTCACTGTACTGTCCTTGTTGAGACATATGGGTTCCAACTAGACAGTGAGCTAAACTCTGACTCAAAGATGAAGAACYTGTCCTTGTTGTAGCTTGTGKATTTYTTGCACATTATTGTTATTGCCTTGAATACAGATTGAAACTAAAAACAAAGAGAAAACATGTATTTAGCTCCTTCCAATTTTAATGTGACTTCAAAGTAAATACGTTTTGTAACTGAACTGAAAACTTACAGTTATTAAATATTACTGCCACCATGTAAATAATAACAGATTGTCTACAAAAAATAACCTATTTCAACATGTAAGCAGCAAATCAATGAATTATAGCTGAGTCAGCATTAACTCACACAAGGAGGTTGTATATAACAACTGGAGTGCTCAGAAACCAGGTGACTGTGTGATCGGTTGGAGAAGCTAAAGGCTAACGCTAAACGGTCAAGAGTCTGGATTTCCCATTACTGT